AGCCGTTTTTGTAGGCATTAAACTGCCAGAATTTTAAAAGACATCTTAGATATCTCCGTTTGCATTGAACTTTCAGCTTCGTAACTTTGCAGATATTGTTTATGCTCAAACAGCAACATTACACACTAACTAACGTTAAAAAAGTGAAATCGCAATCAACCACCACTTTAAAAGAATATATGGCTTTACTCATGTATCTTTACTTACTTTATTCCATCTGAAAACTAGAGACCATATCTTTTTGTATTTTGGGGTGTTATTATGCTTAAGTAAAAATCTGAGCAGTTTGGTTTACTTGGAGTTTGGCCCACAATTCCCTGGCTTCTCGGTCTCCATATGACTGTTCCACCAAGCTGAGCTGGTACTGCAGCCTTTGCTGGGCGAAAAAAGACACCCAATCATCCTGCCAATCATTTACCTGAAAACCAAAGGAGAGATAAAAACCTCTTATTGCAAATAATGTCTAAATATGAATCACCCCATTTGTTTTTTATGATCAAACACCCTGGTGATGCTGACCTGAGGGATATAACCACAGCAGGTAGTCACGTGAAACCCAAACTTGTTGGCTAGTTGAATTTCAGATGTTCCTGATCCTTTTCCTTTGTAAACACAGAAACTCAAATAAATAATTATGTAATCAAAATTCTACAACAATGCAATATTGGGAGGGGAAGAAAAAACATTACCAACAGTCTGCTGTTCCTTGTTTTGTTTCTCTGTCTGTTTCTTGTTGTAAAGATGCAGGTCAGCTAGTTGTTCCCCCAGCTTTGATGAGTATCTACATAAACATTAAACATTTTAAAAAGAGCAAATGCCCAAAATGCTAATGTAATATTGACCCTATTCTCACTCCTATTACAATGGGTTCACATGATTTTGAGTCATACTTATTTAAGCTCCTCATCTCCACATGTTCCATTATGAGAAGAGCTCCACTTCTCTCAAGGTCCACGACCTTCACAGGCCTGGGCACTTTCACTGTGTTTGTAGCCAGGATCGCTTCCAAGCTCGCCATCTCTCCATCAAACATCCTTCTAGCCTACAGAGAAAGAGAGAGATCAGAAAAAAGTCAATGATTTGTACTCTGTATATTTACAGACTGACACTTTACATAATCTATTGATACTTTGTAATGCAAGCATATACAATTACATGGCATAATGATCAACAAATCATTAATTTATGTACGTTCAAATAATGTATATCAAATGATATTGCATAATGTATAGTAGTTTCAAACAGAAACTAGCAAACTGATAAAATAACTGTATAAAACTGTTAAACGAATGTAAAACAAATAAAAGTATATCTTTAAGTTACACATTAACCTATATAATAGTAATTAATATAATACCAATATAATTACAATGCATAATGTGCAGCAGATGATTTTGATGTACGCCCAAATAAAGACAGAGTTGTAATTACTGGAAATAGTATATTCACCATTTGTGAAAATAAAAATATTAAATACAATTAGAAAAGTTACAAATATTTGTTAAATATATTTTTATTTATCTATGTTCTCATATTTTTTTTTTGCAATGTGTTTTTGTAAAATCATAATTGTGATAATATATAAAACTGCTTTAATGTGTTTGCTATTTGCAATAGTTACTATTTACTTCTTTTCATAGTGTTATTTATTTATTTAACTAAAATCAGTTAGGGTTTTAAAACAGGCACCATAATGATTGTTAATTATAATAACAGTATAATAATTGTAACAAAAATGTATCATCCCAGTTTTTTTATTCATATATAATATGTGAGATTTCAATTATGTATTTTTTAAAAGAAATTAATACTTTTATTTATCAAGAATGCATTAAATTGATCAAAAGTGACATTAAAGACATTTATAATGTTACAAAAAATCTAACAGAATTTTTTTTTTTTAAATGCTTTATTGATCAAAGAGTCCTGAAAAAAATTACAAATTTTTTCACAAACATATTAACTGTTTTCAACATTGATAATAATAAGTAATGTTTCTTGAGCAACAAATCAGCATATTAGAGTGATTTCTGAAGGATCATGTGACACTGAAGACTGGAGTAATGATGCTGAAAATCCAGCTTTATATCACAGGAATAAGTGACATTTTTAAATATACTCAAATAGAAAGCGGTTATTTATAATTGTAATAATATTTCACAATATTACGGTTTTGCTGTAATCTTTGATCAGAATAAATAGAGCTTTGGTGAGCATAAGAGATTTTCAAAAACCTTAATTATTCCAAACTTTTGTGGTGTATGTACTTTAATATACCACATTATATTATTATTCCAAATAGCACAGCAAGCGTGCAATGCAAAAGCAGTGCATTCAGTTCAAGTGTACATGCGATCACCTCATTCTTGTGGTTGATCTTGACGAACACTCTGCCAGTGTCAGTGTCAAAGCTCTGGCCTTCACTGATGCATCCTCCTCCTGAATGACCAGTGCTCTTCAGAAGAGATGTGCCCAGCTCTCTCTTCAGCAACGCCTCCATCTCACTGCGCAACTCATACAAACATAAAATCAATATAAAATTATGCGTTTCTGCAAAACGGGTTCATATTACTCTAATCTACTTACAGTAGGGGAATATCCCTGGATGCTTACATGCGCTCGTATAACAACACAAGGCTTTACTGGTGCTCAACGACATGTCAAAATAAAAGTCCGTGTTTTCGCACTGGATGAGTACGAGAAATAGCTGTGCTCGTGCGGGACCACGGTTCTTGTTGCTCATCATGGGTCCTAAGACTGATACTCCCCTGTTTTCCTTTCTGTCGATGCTGCATTGTCCTAATAATATTATAGCATTATAGTCATACAATACAGTAGTTAGTCATAGAATAATTTTACCTTTCAGATGAATCTCTTTTTCTGGATTCTGCTTTGTCTCTCAGTGGGTATTTAATTATTCAACTAAATTGTGAAAATCAAATTTTAAATAGAGTAGATGATTTAGTATTTAACATTAATGACACTTTAAAATATAAATATTTATAAGTATAGGCTACATTCTGTAAAAGTTTAAAGGGGTCATATGATGCTGTTAAAAAGAACATTATTTTGTGTATTTGGTGTAATGAAATGTGTTTATGCAGTTTAAGGTTCAAAAAACACATTATTTTCCACATACTGTACATTATTGTTTCTCCTCTATGCACCGCCTTTCTGAAACGCGTCAATTTTTACAAAGCTCATCCATCGGTCTGAAAAAGCGAGGTGTGCTGTGATTGGCCAGCTATCCAGTGCGTTGTGATTGGCCGAATACCTCAAGCGTGTGACGGAAATGTTACGCCCCTACCATACTGTGATGCCTGCGGCAACCACATGTGATGACCCCGGGCTGGACTGCTTCATCCACGGTGAAAGCCGATCCGGCATTCACAGCGGGAAGTTGTTGTATTTCCTCAGCGACCAGCACGGATCAGCTCCAGGCATGACAAAGCAGATATCGTCCTCTTTTGGAAGGCCAAACAAAGTAGTTTCGCTTTCACAACGAAGCACACAGCGCCTTCACGACATGGCTGCAGCGTCAACAATACTACAGTAAGAATAAAAGTTACGCCTTCTTTCTTTGCGTGAACATTTAGGCGGCATTATGCAAATCTTCCCACATCGTGACGTAGATATGTGGGGGCGTGTTAGAACGAGCCGTTTTAGGTAGGCGTGGTTGACTCTTAACTTTTATAAAGAATAACTCTTTGGATTTGAGACTTTAATCTTTGCAACTTTACAGATCTTCTTTATGCACCAACAGCTTGTAACACTCCAAAGAGAAAGGAAAAATTGAAATCGCATCATATGACCCCTTTAATATTTCACATTTTGTGCTATAACAACTAAATTAGTGACTGTTTCTAGTTATTTCCTGTGATATAGCTAAATATGTTATAATATGTTACAATTTAAAAGTAAATTCACATTGCTCTTAAGGGGGACATCTTTCTTACACAGATACACACATAAGAAATGTTTTCTTTTTTGGTTTTTAATTTTGTAAATCCAATGAAGGCCTGAGCTCCGTACAGTACAGCTGTAACCACATGCGTTGCAGTTTTCTGGTCAAACACCTGAGGGTAGGTGATGGGCTCTTGCCCAGCTCGGTCACAGTAAGCACTTTATATGTGGAGGTTTTACTGTAATATATTGTAAACTATGTTTTGAGGTTTAAGTGTCAGGCAGAATTCCACATTGGTTTCATTTGGTACTATTTTCTTTGGCTGAGCTAAAATAAACAATAGAAACAACTGTCAAAATTTAATCTAAAATGTAATTATTTTAAATTGTGTTTGTTTGGACACAACCGTGCCGTTGGTAACATGGCTATGGTTCAGCCTCAGGCCAATAAAAATGGTGTTGATATTTAGAAAAACAGCACTCTTGCTCATGTCATACTTTACATACTCCTTAATAGATATATAAGACAAGTAAGTTTTACATTGGACACTTACATAAGTGTCTCACCACACACACACACACACACACACACACACACACACATACTAACCATCTGAAATCAATAAACATAATATTATCATTAAAATGTTATTAAAAATATTATATTCATTATCTTGTGTTCTCATACTGTTGAAGAAAGATATTGAAATTGTTTAGAGTTGTCGGAGCTCCTCATATTTTCACATAATTTTAACAATATAATCATGAGCAACGCAAAGAAGGAGTAATTAAATGCATGCACAATTCTGTTTTAGGACAGTTCTAGACAAACCCATTATTTTCTATATTTGCATTTTATTACTCTGAAAATATTTATTTTCCTTCTAATGGTTTTTGAATCTCTCTGACTCTGTAAGTTGTTAAGCTGAAAACAACACATTCATGCTGTCACAAGACTAGTTGAAAAAAAAAGGTCACTCAAAAGAATCGTGACATCATTTATTCCCCTTTTTGTAGTTTTAAACTGGTATGATCCATGTTTTTTTTTTTTGTGGCTTGTTTGTTTTTTCCTCCATACAGTGCAGTCTACTGTAACAAACTGATTAGTTAAATTAGGTATGTTTGATAAAGATCTGTGTTGATGTAGGGCCTCGGCTGATTTCATAATGCTTAAAAATGTTCTTGTAGATGGCAGGAGAAAATTTACTCAATTCACTCAAAAGTGTCCCGGCACTTGGCCATTGATGAGGTGAGGGCGCCATCTCTTGGTGGAGGTGCACAATTGTGCCATTTTAATTCAAAAATGTATTGGAACCAGAGCATGTGAGCGGAGCGGAGCGTGAGCGGAGTGGTAATATTTCCTTAAGAGCGCAGAGCGCCTTTCTGAAGATTCCGCTCCGCTCGCTCAATACGCTCAGCGCCACTCGCTCAACCCAGAATGCCGTTTGGTGATTTGCTTGTTCGAGATCGAGAATCTGTAGAGATCGAGAACAGTAGAGCAGTTATGGAGTTCAGATATTGTTTCAACGAAGTTGCAAGCCTTATACATAAATGTAAAGTAAAAAATCAAAGTTAAGAATGAGCAGGGAGAAGAAACTGAGAGGGAGTGCGGAGAGACTGTTAAAGTTAGTACAGATTCATATTGATTACAGAGAGCACGAGGATGTGTTACGCAAACATGGTGCAGCAAAAGGTGAGCTAGTTACATACCATAATAAATGAATAAACAGGTAGGCTAAGGTTATATTCGGTTGTACGGAGCCCCGATCATGACATGCAGACAAAATCACGGCCACGAATTTAGAATAGGCTAGTTCTCTTTTATGCTAGGCCTACATTATGGCCACGAATTCAGAATTAATTTGTTCGTTTAGTCTAAATTATGGCCACGAATTAAGTATTCGTTCTCTTGTTTAGACTTAGCTGGCACGAATTCATTCGTTCGTTAATTCGTTCATTCCGTAGTTTTAGTAGGCCTAAATCGTGGAACGAATTATTATATTTCGTAATTACTCATTAAAATCATTATTGCTTAAAATTAATAAATAATAATACATTAATAATAAATTAAAAAAAACCTGCTGACGTCGTAGAAACGAATTGTTAATTCAAATTTTATTCGGAGCTCTGTAGTTATTAAATAATCTCAGTTAAACTGTAGACCTAAGCTAACACACAGCTGTATATAGGCCTACATACAGAACTACATTGTACAGAAGATATTAGCCTACACCATTAGGCCTATTAAAATATTATTTAAAAAAAAACTGACCCGAACCAATAGGTAGTCCTACAGAATGTAGGCTAGATATAGGCAGCAGTAATTTATAATCTAATATAATGCACGCAAATTTGTTATTTACAGAACTGAGCGGGAATTGGTTTACGGCGAGCGTGAGCGGAATATTAACGGAGCGCTTGCTTGGGCGGTTAGAGCGACTGAGTGGAGCGCACGTCCATAGAGCGGAAAACGTAGCGGAGCGCTTCGCTCACATGCTCCGATTGGAACGGAGCACCCCACAAAATGCACAAAACGTGCTTGCCTCTCCTCCCTTCTGGGCATAATTACCAGTTTCAAGCCCTTTGCTTCATTTCAGCGATCTCACTGTTCAAAGCACTCATTCCTTCACAAGTGATCCATATATAGTCATTCTTTTGGCAGTTTGCTAGCCAGGCTGTTGTGAAGTTCAAGTTGGTAACTTGGCTGTATTTTTTCTTTTCTTAATATGATTCACCATAATAAACACCAGTCCCTCATGAATAAAAAGGCAAAAGATGCAGAAATATTTAGAGCATGTACATAATTGTGTAAAATATACCCCACGATTCCCTTGTGCACACAATCTACAGGTGCATTGCAATAAATTAGAATGTCGTGGAAAAGTTCATTTATTTCAGTAATTCAACTCAAATTGTGAAACTCGTGTAACCACGTGATTTGGATATACTTGCAAAATTTTAATGTTTTTTAAGGTACAACAATGGATGCTGCAGTAAAATAAAGAAGAAGAAGAAAACAAGAGAATTTTCCAGAGGCTTACAATAGTTCTAGAAATTCCCTGCATTTCTGAATTAGTTTTATCCATTGACAGCACCATATTGTTGAAGTTTGAAATCAAGCACATTTGTCATATTTGCAGCAGAAGTGCAACTTCAAAGAGGGCCTCTGGAGCCTTGGTATTACAAGAACCACTGTTTAAGAACCAATGAATTAAAGAGCAGTGCTAAAGACATTCATTAAACCTCCTAAGCTTGATTTGATCTTGACTGTGATTATGACAGTGATGTATGCATTAAAGTAGACTACTGCAGTGTCATAATCAAGGGAGAACAATTACATGCTTCCTGCTCCCTGTAGAGAACATAAGTAAGACTTCACACTGACAGACTCTCTATATAGAGCAATGGGTTTGCTACAGTTGTGTTGTGGGAGAGGCCAATGCTCAAGTATAAAGGAGATGGAGGGAGAAGCATGTAAATAGAGCAATTTGAGTGAGGTATGAGTTCAGAATGACGCCAGTCTGGTCTGGGGCAACAGGAGAAGCACATTTTCATAGGACATGTCTGTGAAGGTTAATGATTGAGCAGTGTTGAGTCGATACAGGTAAGTTAAATGGTTGAAAAATGTGAAAATGAAGAGTCTTATGTTCACCAAGGTTGCATTTATTTGACAAAATTTGATTAAATTATTTTATTATCATTTTCAGCAGCCATTACTCCAGTCTTCAGTGTCACATGATGAT